TAAAAATGAATGTATTTCAATGAGCCGAGTTTATACCACTGTGGTGCTTTCATGTTCATTAAAAACAAGTATTTTTTTCAGAGTAGTTAGGAGGCAATACACTTTAGAGTATACAAGTTACAGTGTCATCAGGTCATCAGTATTATATTACAATTCTCATCATCATTGCAATATATTTACAATTCTCAAAAAAAAAAACAAAAAAAAAAAAAACATATTCAATGTTTAGCATAAACAACATACCTATGGTAGGTACTGAACTATGTAGCAGTAATAGAAACCAAATCAGACATTACAAAATGATCTAGATTCCTCAGGGAAGGTGTGTATCTATGTCCAAATAAATAGGACTCAGCCCAGGGGTATCCAGCCACTGAGCCCAGAGTTCCTCAATTGTATCCGGACACCTTCTATGTTGGTAAATGTAGCATTCCACTACTATAAAATGGATTATGAAGAGGCAAATTTACCAATCATTATACCAGTCCGCTTCCACATTGTAGTAAATGCAGAACCCTAAAAAAACCGTACCACAAAAAGAAAGCCTCCACTTATGGAGACAAAAAGAGGGTTACTTATGAATGACTAAAATAGCGGCTGGATGGTGAAAAACTGAATTTACTTATCGTATCAAAAGGAGAACAAATTTAGAAAAAATACTATTTGCAGCGCATTACCAGCATTGGATGAATAACTGACATGTGAGTTTTACATACAACAACAAAAATGACACTACAGAGAATATAACCCACTATATGTGGTATAGCAATCTGATTCCCCAATGGATCCTTGCATGAGAACCACCCTAATACTATGAGGTTTTGGTAACACTCATGCAGCTTTTACTGTGGCTCCATCCCATACACAGAATTATTAGGGCATCCGGACATTCTTGTTTTTGTTTGTGTCCTTTTGTTTGTTGTATGTAAAAGTCACATCAGTTATTGTTCTCTCAATGCTGGCAATGCTCTGCAAATAGTAATTTTTCTAAATTTGTACGATAAATAAATTCACTTTTTTACCATCCAGCCTCTATCTTAGTCATTCATAAGTAACCCTCTTTTTGTCTCCATACAGGGAGGTTTTCTTTTTGTAGCAAATGTAGCGTTCTAATCTATGCATCTCTCCCATTTGTTTTATCCAATCTGCCAGTACTGGTGACTCCAGCGAATTCCAGTGTGATAGTATCACTTTACGAGCTTGGAACAAGGCTTTGGCCATAGCTTCCCTACAAACCCACTGAACCGGAAAATCACCAAGAATACCCAGTTAACATTGTTTAGGGATGTTGCATTTTTTCACACACAAATACAATGAACTGCACCATAAATGCAACTTAGTAAAAAAAAAAAACAAATTGCCAAGTAAAGCACTGCAACAGCACAGTAATGCAAACCGCACACTGAACAAAGGACTGTGGTGTAAACGCACCTTGAAAGCAAACTAGTCTCGAATGAGGGAAGGGGAGAACATTCATTAGCTTTTATTTCAGTGTCCCCATTAGATATTTCCCCTTACTTCCTCCCATTGTGAAAATGTGGTTATTAAAACAGGAAATGAAGAGAAACCTCCCCCAAAAAAGATAGCAGAAAAAAATCCCACTTGTTCAAAAACAACAAAACTCACTAAAAAAAAGTTTTGGCTTGAGAAAAAAACAAAAACAAACTTTAACTTAACTTCCAGGCACTATTCACCAGGCTCTACATAAAGGAACAAAGATGCAAATCTCATATGTTTTGGGTTTGAGTGTTTACAGGTATTAGTTGTGACTGTCATTACAAGCATGAAGTTTAATTCTAAAATCTGAGTGTTCTGTCCCTTTAAGATGGTAGTACTCTCTTCAATAACTATGAATGGGATTTCCCCTGTTCGTACTGGTTGTTCTCAATGATCAACAGGAAAAGCCCTTTCATTAAGAAGAAATGTCACCTAGGAGGCGATGAATAGCCGGCTCCATGTTTAATATGCACAATGAGTCTACATCCAGCTCTGCCCAATCCCACACACAATGTCCATAGACTAAAGGAACCCTATCTCTCAGCTTCTTTGCATGGTCTACCGGAATCCTAAAAGCCGCCCACTTCCCTGTAACTCTTTCAGTCTTTTCAACTAACCATCTGCTGAGGGGTGATATGGATGACACGTTCCAGGGCCACAAGCAGTTTATAGAGGAGCAGGTGACTGTATCAGAGACCACTGTAAGAAATGACAGTGGACATCCAAAATGTGGTTAGTTTTCCTTCTGGAGTTCATTTTGTGAATTAAAAAAAAACAAAGGCTATGAGCAGATATTTATTATATAATGGTGTAGGTGTCTGGAAATTAAAGGTGAGCGTTCTTATTGAACCTATCCGTTAGGACTACGGATTTGGTCACCTTTGATGAAATGATCTTCAGCCCTGGTTCACACTAATGCGGTGCGCACATCGCATATGATTCGCACAGGAACCACACTGCATTCCTGTCTGTGCGGTGCAATTTGAACCATACATTTTGTATGGCTCCAATCGCATCACATCCGCACCAAAAAGGTGCAGGCCCCTTTTTCTTCCTCACACCTGTTTCACAACCCATGCAATGCGAATTCTTGTAATCGCACTGTGTTTTGTGATCTGTTTCGGGTGTGTTGTTAATTTAACATTGACACCCGTACCAGATCACATGGATGCCGTGTGATTGCAATGCAGTGTGGTAAATGCACAAAATTTGCTGCGTTTCCCACGCCACATTAGTGTGAACCAGGGCTCAATGTGCGGCTTCCAAGTTTCACATCCTTTTCTCCAAAAGTCCACCCACTAGTCATAGTATCCCTGATACATGCCTGCCCCAGTTTTCATTCTTTTTAAGATGTGTCCACAAAAATTGATGTGCCATCCATACAACTGAATAAAATCCATGGTGCGCAAGTGCTGCGTGACCAGCTGAGCAGGTTTTAAGAATAAGACTATGAAGACTTGGGGCGGTGGTCCTGAAGAAAGTTCATGTAACTTTTAAGCCAGCCACAGATGGATCGAATCTCAGCTGGTTCAGCAGGGACTAGCTGAGATTTGATCCTTCTATGGGCAGTATCCACCAGCAGTAATCATTGTGTTCTGCCAGCTGAGAAGGCTCCCTGCCGGCAGAACACAAAAGCACTGCGGAAGAGATTCCTTCATCAACACTAATTGTGTTGATGGGGAAATCGAGCAATTTTCTTTCCTTCCACCCATGGTGGAAGGAAAGAAAGTCAAATCATTTATGGCTTGCCTTAGAACACCTATCATTTGTCTGATACATTGCAGTGTAAACAAGAGTTAGGTAAAGCTGAAATCCAGGCACCACAAATATTATTTAAAGCAGAACTGAAAACTTTTTTTCTTCATTTTGGATAGAGTAAAGGAGAAGTAAAACTCCTGCCCCATAGCCAAACAGAAAGTAAGAGGGAATGGCTCCAGAGTGAGTCATTAGAACTAGTGCCCCCCCCAGATGATTTCCCCTCTATTACTGTTCTGGGAACAACTCAAAACTGGGATTTTCTTTCACTTTCAGTGAAAACAGTAAACATGACAAATAGAGAGGGTGAATCTCCTTAATGGGGTCACAGACAACAATAACAACATGACAGATGTTCTAATCCCTTTCCACCTTGTCCAAAACTTAAAAAAAAAAAAAAAAAAAAAATAGCATTTAAATATATTTTAAATCTATTTCTCAGTAGCCACAGAAGAGATCTATTTTGTGTGCACCAAGTGCCTTTGCAAAACCAGTTATTAGCCTGTAAAAACAGCATTTATCATCACTGTGTTGCACAGAGAGCAAAGCTGTGGTAGGGAACCAGCAGATCCACTGAGTACAGGAGGGAGGGAGGCAGATACAAGACCAGTCACCCTTCACAAGAAGAGAGTGCAGCAGTGGCCAGTCTTTATTACAGGAAGATCCTGCATAGAGGCAAAATGCAAAAGTTGTTTCATGGTCGATTACTGCACAGATCTGGAAGAAACAGGTAAGAAGATATACATGTCTCTTGTATGTAAACATTTTTTTTTATTTAGTCCAAAATTCACCTTTAAACTGGACATGCACCAATTTTCAATGCACTGCACCAGGACACACAGATGGTTTACATCATGCAGTATACTCATCAATGAAGCTCCCAGGTGACAGAAGAGGAGGAGAAAAAAATGTAGGTTATGTTTATGAACTTGCTTGCAATATCTGGGTATACTAATGTAAAAGTGCACATAAGGACTTAAGGTGATTTTGTTTTCTATAAATCACAGGATAAACATCTGATGTGTATGGAAACCACCTTTCCCTCCATGAAAAGACATCACACTGATAAAATTCAAGGAAACAAGAGAAGCCAATGTCTAGTGTATCGACTCTGCCACCTGCTGTTAGTAATCGTACAATGACTCTCCAAGATGTGAAAGCTCAGCAATGACCCAGAACCTATTATCTGCAGTATAGACACGAACAGAAAGAACAACTGACACGCATCCTGAAAAACTCCTGCCAAGCTTATTGATTTATTATTTACCTGTCACATATCCTTCTAAGGCTCTTGGGACATACGATTTGGCAAGACTGAGGTTTTCTTTTGTGCATTTGCCAGATTCAAGTCCAAATGACATCCCCATCCTCTTCAGAACCTCAATGTCATCATGGATTTCAAAGGCATTGTCAAAGTTAAAGAGGTATTCAAACCTGCAAAAATAAAAGCCATTTCCATAGATGTTCAGAAGGGGAAAAAAATTCACACTAAGAAAGCTAGAACCAGAGGATAGATAGAGGAAGGCCTGGAGAACGCACAACACAGATTAAAGTGGTGGGAACACAAGAGATGAGGACATACAGTAGACATGGCCTATGGCACTCCAGTTCTTAGGATGTGCTGAATTCTTCAACAGCTGGAGGATCTCAGGAGGCCCATAAGTGATGGAGAGAAACACATTATTCACATTTGAAACATGAATCACTCCTATTCAGTACTTGACTATTCATCACACTCACTTGTCACTAGATATACTGCAGTCAATGACCGTCTTTTTGCTGGTGTTCACAATGATAAAGGGCAGCTTGATGGTGGAGTTTACAGCTGGTGGTGTTTGGCTCTGTTGCTCAATTTGTCGGTTTCTTTGAATCAGGTGCTTGAATGCAATTTGCTAAGGTGAAAAGAAAAAGTAATCAGGTGATGGGTCTTGCACCTATCTCAAGATAATGATGACAAGGTACTGCTAAGACACACTAATGGATCCATAGCACCAAGTGACACATTCATTTATATTCAGTAAGCTAGTGCAAAGAGAATGATGATCAGCAAAGTGCAGTGATCATCAGCTGTTAATCATGTTTATATTTTTCTGGTGCCAGATTAATGATTGAATACAATTCAGTGTCCTACCGCAGTCAATCAGATGCTCACAAATCAGCTGATTGATTGATACAGGTTATTGCACTCTACACGTTAACAATGCAATGTCTTTTTGAATAACCCAAACAGTTTAAAAATGTCCTTGTATGCCTTGGTTGGTTGTGTGCCCAAATCACAGCTGCTAAATGTCTGAACAATATTGGTTACAGGAAACCTCTAATGAGAGAAAACATAGAGAGCATGGTTTCTCCATCCGAAAAGGGCAGTTGCCTGGTTGTCATACTAATCCTTTTGCTTCCATACTTGGATCTCTGAACTAGATAAAAAATCATTTTTTCTCTGACTTTTCTGATCTATATAATTGTTTAAAATATTGATGCCAAATGGTAAGCATAACAGCCAAGCAGATAGCTATCTATGTAGGTGGTCTGCAATGGCTGAATGATTTTCTTCTAACCCTAATATATATACAACCTGCTTACACTGGTACAACTCAATTGTCAAGAGTACAGTTAGTCCCCTACATATGAATTTTCAAACTTGCAAACTTTCAGAAGTGCAACATGTCCAATCGTGTAAAGCCGGGTACACACACTCAGTAGGGTTGCCACCTCATCTCTTTAAAACCTGAACACATATTAATTACACAGGTTCTGTGGCTGACTAAGGTGGTCATTAAAATCACTAAGTCCCCCATCTGCATTAAATTAGTCAGAAGCTGTGTAATTGCTATTTGTTTGGTTGTAAAGAGATGAAGTGGCAACCCTAACACTCAGTTTTATTTCATTCAACCCAGTGGGCTGAACTAGAAAAAACAAAAAAAAAACAATAGATTGCCATACCAACACAGGTATTGTTGCTGCAGGGATCTTCCCCACTGTGCCTTTGTATTCTGACAGGGGGATTCCCCTTGGCAGAGCACACTGCTCAAGATGGACTTACGAATGACCTTCCAGAACAGAATTCGTTCATATATAGGGGCTTACTGTAATTTCATTCAGTCCATGAACTTGTCCATGAATTTCCTCACAATTTATAGTCCTACAATTCTTCCAATCCAACCCAAAGTGGTTAAAGTCCCACTTATTAAGAAAATTGTCATCCAGTCAGGAAGTCCATCTTTACAAAATGGCAACTGAAACATATAGATGAAATCAATGCAATGGCTGCCTTCAATATTGCAACCATAAATAAGGCCTTCATATAAAGATTAGTTTATAGGGGGCTTTATAACAGTACAGGTCATTCCGGATCTCCAAAGAATAAGTTACTAGCAAAGAAAAAAGTATGATGAACTTGACAAATGACCAGATTATTTAGGCAAAAAGTGGTTATGGAAAGTGTGGATGCAGGGATATGAATAATAGGCTTAAATATAGAATTTTCTTTTTAAATATATTTAGACTATTTAGTACTTTCTTAGTAAAAATTGGGTTGAATTCTCCAACCTTAATGTTTTTTATATAGCTCAACATAATCACATGGGTGGACAAGTCATACATTCCCAGAAGATCAAAACACACACTTAATCAGAATATGCACTGCAGTTCATTATGATGATATATTCTACTATCTGATGGTCCCACCCAAGTATAGGCATGAAGAAAGAAAACTTCAGTTCTTTAAGCCTGGTGAAAATGGTCTCTATGAAAGAAAAATGGTACTATATTTCCCAGGACACATGAAACTCACAGTTACAGCACACTGGACCCTGAATGGTGGGGTTTGATATTACACGGTGCTTATGAATACTAAACAGCTTCTCATTGTAATCACATGTGCCTCTGATCTTAAAAGGAAAGAGGAGACTCATTATGCATATGAACTATATGAAAGGGCTTTTCATGGCCATAATAACAGTTTTAATACTGAACAGAGGAAAAAATAAAGATGTAAAGGGAATATGCTAGGTGATTCTGTATTGGCGTCCTGAACCTTAGTTAGCGTCTGAGCCCCATTCACATGTAACAAATGGGGAGACCACATTAAGGATGCAATAAAATATAACTTTCAGATACAAATGATTAATATTTCAAAGAAGGATGCATGTTGTAAATTATGTTAAACATACTAGATACTTGATCCTAATATTTTCCAAGTCACTAACCTAGAACAAGCAAGCACCAAGTAAAGTAGGAACTCCTAATTTTCAGACTCTTCTGGTCAGAGACTAAAACATTAACAAAGGCAGGGACAGCCCGGAAAATAGGATTTTTAGAAGCTGAGGTCAATGATGGAAGCTTAAAAACTTTCCCCAGTACAGGTTGCATTTATGTCTGTTAGTTGAAGTTTAACATGGAAGAGCTTGTAAATGATGGACACAAACAGTGAAGTGCCCAAAACTGAGCAAAGAACATAATTCAGAACCAAGCCCCATAAAGGTAAAGAACATATTTCTGTTCTTTATAAGGATTTTCCACCAGTAAGAGATGAAGAGTTGATACTGCTTTGCTATATGTAGTAGTAATAACAAGCTTTAGCTTACTTAGTAATGTGGTGAGAACAACTGAGTTGAGAGGGAGGTCTGTATCTGATGGGACTCAACAAGAGATTCCATTGTCATACTCTCCATTCTTACTATGCTGCAAAAAGTGAATGGGTGGCCCTGTGACAGCCATCTCACATGATTCAAACTTCCAACAACAATCACACACAGAACACAGCGTGTTTGAATACAGCAGCTACGGAGGGTTTTTTTTTTTTTCATGTTTTAATGCCAATACAAAACATAACAAATGATGACAGTCAATGGAAAAGCGAATAAGATCAAACAAGTGAGGCAATATGAATGCAAAATTTTATGTGTATGTAAACGTAAAATGTGGAACAACCTTGTAAAGTCCAACTATTATTATTATACAGGATTTATATAGCGTCAACAGTTTGCTCAGTGCTTTAAGTCCAATGAGGGCACACCACTGAATCGGGAGATTGCTACATGTCCTTCTAATAGGTAGCTATTATTAAAGTGACCCTGACCTAGCCTCAAACATTTCAATGGTATTAGCAGTGCTTAAGAGCAGGGACCTTGTGGTATGTGCAAGTCCTTGCTAGTCTTTAAATAATTTCCTATATCTCTTTTGGATCATAGGCCCAGGCTGTACATGAAGCTCTGACTAAGATTAAGACGCCACCCCCCCCCCCCCCCAGCGTTCTCTTGTTGTGTCATTCAACTATTAACTGCCAGATGCGGCAAAGACCCTGTTATATGTTAGAAAACATGCTACATTCATCAGCAGAGGTCTTCTGTTGATGAATGATTTAGAATTTAAAATAATATGCCACAAAACATGTCTAGGATTTTGTTACACTACCTCTTCCCCCTCTGTACAATGGTGGAGGATTGGAGGCCTTTTTATCTTATGGCCTGAATACAGAACAGCAGCAGTAACCTCTCCTGGACACAGCAGCTGGTAATACAGACAGAGAGCAGAATGCCCATGGCCTTCTTCAATAAAATGTTTTAATTTTTAAGTGCTGTAACCTATAGCAGCTATTTAGAATCCATCTTGCACGGAACCAACTTCTGAAGAGTTAATTTATATTGGCTGCTATGGGTTACTGCCCTGAAGAAATGGAACTGTTTATGGAATATGGCCAACAGCAATACAAGCACAGGGAATAAAGAAATACAAGGAGGTAGAGGCAGAAGTCAGTACATACAGTAATCCAGGCAGACAGAAACCAGGACACACAATAATACAGGAAAGAAGGAGACAGGACATGTAGTGACCTAGGCTGGGGAATGGTCAGACACAATGATCCAGGCAGGCAAAGGGAAGAACACTGTGATCTTGGCAGGCAGAGGGCAGGGGAATAGTCTCCAAGCTGGCTTTTCCCCAAGTAGAGAGCAGCCGCATAACCAGCTTTCTGGTAATGAGGAGGCACGATACGATACAGAGCCCACAAATGACTGTGCAGAAAAGGCCACCAATGTGTGCCCTGTAGGATCACATCTGTTTTCCTCCCCTGACAAGCCAGTTCCAGAGGCATCTGCAATGTACTTCTCCTGCCCCTCTCCATAACCAAGACACAAATTTTCACATGACACAACCGCTCATGGTTAGAAATGTGGTAGCCAAACATAATGAATAAGAGGTGCCAAACCATGCTTTCACATTTAACTACTCTCTGACTGCCCTATAATCTCTTCCACTGAATCTGCTAGGCAAATACAATACAAATCTTTATGTTCGCTCCGTTTTTATTTTTTTTTGCTCCAATTTTCATAAGACGTTTCCATTAGGTCTGAATGAACCAATATACAAAAACCACTCAAATTCAGACTTTCATTATTTATCTGCCAATGCACTTCTGACAGATGGCCCAATGTGTTTTATTATTCCAAACTAATATTAATACATGGTGGTGGTGTATGATATCTCAATGACAATTAGGTACCTGCAGCAGCAGCTCCTGGAGCTGAGCACTCTTTTGTTTGATGCGTTCTATTCGCCTTTGTTTCTCCATCTGAAATTCCAAAGGATAAAATGATCAGTGTAAATTATAACAACTGAATCCATTATAAATCAGGACAATGCAAACCCTTTAAACAAATCTGTTGGATGATTACCTGTACAGGTTTACTTAAACTCTGAAAGAAAGAAAGTCCTTTTGTGTTGAATTCAAGAGCAATTCCACTAAGCAGATGTGGCAAGAAGAGTGTAAAAAGTTAAATTACCTTTACTTATATGCTCATGTCTGACTAAATAGTAAAGTGGTGCTTACATAGAATTTTCAGGGGGTATATCCCATGCTTCCTACTACATTCTATTCAATATTAGATTACATTTGCATTAAAATGTAAACAAGAAAAGTGGCGATGGCATGCATGCAGGCTGCAAACCAAATTCCTGAGACCTAAAAAGTGTTCCAAAAGCAAGAAACCATTTATTAACTCTTCAACATCACCCAAAAACTAAAATAGAAGTTTTAGACAGGTTGATCTTTCCATTTAGAGTAGCACTGGTCCAAAGAGGTAGGAAAGGCTACAGAACAAAAGCAATTCTGTAGATGTCAATAAATAAACATCGTAACGACAGAGAAAATAGAAACAGCATTGCCTATTCCATCAGTTTGAAAAGCTGAAAATACATTGAAGTGGAAGAAAGGCCTAAAGCAGCCCACAGACTAAGCAATTTTCATTCCTTCTACCATGGGTGCCATGGAGCTTGCCCATAGATGGATCGAATCTTGGCCGGTTTCTACTGAACCAGCTGAGATTCGATCCATGTGTGGTCAGCTTAAGTCTAACCATTTAAAAAAATGTTCCTCCTCCTACCTATAACTTGTATTAAAAAAGAAGTGTGCACTTATTCATTTTTAACCCGCTCTAGTCTTGTGATCCCACATCACCTGGCTCCCCTGTATCAGTGAGTGGATGCAGCAGGGGAGAGGAGGGAGCGTGGACAACAGCTCAACTATAGAAGCCTACTGGTGACGTCATAGCTCCTTGAATTTCAAGCCATTGTCAAGTGCTCCCTGAGCTGGAGCTGCAGAATCATGTGACTGGACTGGAGTAGATTAAAAATAGGTAAGTATGCACATCTTTTTTATACAGGTTAAGCAGAGCAGGTATGAGAAACGGGGAGAACATTTTTAAGAAGAGTGTTTTTCTAGCACTTTAATATGACTAATCCCCTTAATATTCACTGTAACTTCATTAGAGCTTTGTTAAAGGTTGATTTATTAAAACTATGTGCATAAAAACTGGATCTAATACCCTGAATTCAGAATTGAGATGACACTTATAAACAGGAAAACAGGGATATTCTATGACTTTGTCACACTGCTTAATAATAATTTACAATAAATCCTCCATCACCTACTAATGCAGAAGGTACGTTTCCATTTTTAGGCAATAATGGGGGATACAAAGAGGAATTTCACCATTTCCCAAGATGGCTATAAGAGTCAAGTGATGGGGACCTTTCTTTTACTAAATGGAGCCAACCCAAGCAGATAGGAGAGTTCCATCTAAAATGAAGATTCCCCCTTAAAGTATATTACACAACAATGACATCTTCTATCCAGATCAAGGATTATAAAGGATATTTTACATATATAAATGTCCCCTTTACTGTGAACAAAAACTTGGACCCTGCTTTATTACGTATAGATTTAAGTAATTTCAAAACACAAAAAAACAGAACAATCCTGCTTAATTTATTGTTATTGGAGCAGAAAATATACACAGCACAAGAAGATTGATAAGACTATTAAATAGAAGCTACTAGTTATTGTTTGTTACATTTGGAAATACATAGAGTTCTAGTGGATACAGTAAATCCTGTAAGACTGCAGTATCCTTACATAATGCAGAGTGTGGAAATAGCACAGGATAATGCAGAGCATGTAACACCCCCCCCGCTCCTGCAATGAGACACGGTAGGCTGAAGCACACTAGTAATGAGCTGCTGAGTCAGCTGCTCCCCACAGCTGGGTACCAGGACCAGGGCTCACTACATCTAAGCCAGGCCTCAAATACAAACCTGCATTTAAATGCTGCTTTACAGGCATTCACGAGGAAATATCCTCAGACTGTAAATATCCTATAGGCTGTCATCGTCAGAAGATTGATCATTCTGGTAAACAGATATTGTTATATCCAGAAGTCATTTCAGTATTTGGAAAAACATGTATGCATGCATTATCCAGAAAGCATCACCTCTCTCCTTGCTCTTCAATAATGTTCTTCAGTGGGACTTCAAATAACAGATCAAAGGTAGGGTCCTTCAAGATCTCAATAGTGTACTGTAAAGGTTCTGGTATTGCAAAGGGTTCTTGAAGTGTTAAAATCCAGGGGATGGGATTTTATGTCAACCCATTTCTTTAAAGGGCCCTGTCACTATTCCAAAGCTCTTGAACAAGGTTATACCCGTAAAAAAGAGAGAGAATGAATACTTTCCTCTCTTGGCACCTACACCACAGAACACAGCGACCATATATGAAATATCAATCCCTGAACTCTGAGAAATGGCTCTTCCGGAAGTGTCTCTTTCCTTGGTCTTTCGCAGCTCTCAATGGTTCCTCCTGCAGCTCCATTATAGGAGACAGCAGTGGTGGAGGTGGATGTCAGAAGGAGAAAGGAGAATGTTGTGGGGGACAGAAAGATGTGTAGGATTTACAGAGGACATCAGAAGACAATTTCTCATGAGCAGAGTTTTGTTCAGCTGATCCGGTAACAGAAGAGGTAAGTATTTACACTCTTTATTTACAGGTGTAGCTTTGCTTGGGAACTTATATATGACAGGGTTGCTTTAAAGTTGAGGTATATAATGCATGCATTCTTGTAGAATATGAGTGTGTAAGCCATGGGAGGAGAGAAGTATTATTTATTTATAGAACATTACCTCTAGATTCTCACATTCCTGGACAGAGTTTGACGGCAGACCAATCCACTTAATTTCCTTTTTTCTCCTTAGAGATAATATTCATTGCCATTAGTACATTGAGTGCATCGTAAACTCTTCTTCGGATATTCTTCTGATCGTAAGCCTGAGACATAAACAATTTCACATAAGTAACTTAATATTACTTGGAGAACTAATTGCACTGTAAATGAGATATTATTCAATATCATACTACTAAATGATTATGACCCTCTTGTGACATAGCAGGGCAGTCATATGAGGTAGAGAGAGGCAACTGGAAAACAAAGTACTCAAGCCTGCTACAAAGCAAAGGGTACCTAATTAAAACCTTTTTCTAATATATTATTAAAAAAAAACCCAGATATCAGCTGCATTTTAAAAAGCAGAGGTCTCTTTCATATACCTTAATTATATGTAGAAGTTATATGTCACACCAAGACCCCAATACAATGTGTGATTCTGCTAACACAGGGACATATACAGTACAACAATGAATATGCTGAGAGCAAGCATACCTGCAGTTTACACCATCCTACTTCAATCTACAGCAACCTATGAGACATCTAGACCTATCGTGTTTGTGTACCAACCCCATAAAAAAGATGCACAATACAAATTGCCTTATGTTGCCTTTCCCACCTCCACCGTCCTTTGCTAGTTATGAACCGATGATCAGCTGCCATTTCCTTCTTTTATTGGAGGCCAAGCACAATGGTCCTCCCCAAATAAGCCATCACTTAATGTCTACGCATTCCTTTACCCAAAGGACTGTGTGACTAAGAATTGCAACACATATCCTGTTCGTTTTAGAACAGACAGAACTGAATATGACCTACTATACGTACTGAAAGTGACTTTATATTGTATATGAGGACCGCGTTTTGTACAAATAAATTTGAATTTGAAAACACACAGTCAATACACAAATGTAACATAACATTGTTAATGCTTGTTAGGCATACAATTAGTTCAGATAAACAGCAAGATGATACAAATTTCACTCACCGAATCGGTGGGTAGGTGACCTGTAGAATTGGTAAATTCAGCCACCAACTCATCAGCCACCTCGTTGTACGACGTAGTGCCTTTGGTCTGAACCTTTTCACAAACCTTCATAGAGAAATGCCGAAGACCCTTTCCACTCTTCTCTCCTCTTTTACTTCTCTTGCTTTAGTTTGTAAAATGAAAATGACATACTTTAGTCTTACAAATGAATATTATGAATGAAAACGGTTATTACAGAATATATAAAATCAGGGGTGCTACATAAAAAACTGAAAGGTGGACCAAGTGTATCAACTATTTTACACTCTTCACAACCTCAGATCAACTTAAAATACTCACAATATGAGAGACTAAAAACACTGATACATTGCATATACATCACGTTTAGGTATATGGTCAAAGTGATATATTAATGATGTAGCTACTAACAGGTGAAGCCACAGCATGCAACGGGGACACAAGCATCTGACACACCTGGATGTGTTGGATGCTGAAGGTCAATGTAGCTTTGCAAAAGAGCAAAAATCTGAGACACGGGCAGGTAATTATTATTACTCTCACCTTGTAGGTGGCTCATTATTTTGGTGACAGAATAAAGAAAAAAGGCTATAGACATGCACATATCCACACTTTGTGATATCTTTTGGACCACCTGTTCCTCTAAATCTGAACAATTGGGTAGTATGACTTTTTTATTTGTAGTAGAAGTATGGAGGGCAGACCCACAGATATCGCTGTACTTTTGTATACACCTATCCTAACCTACATACAGTATTTATCCTATTTCCTACAATATCACAGGTTAGACCGTGCATGGGGTGGAGTGGCAGGTACGGACAAGATGTCAAGATATATGTTCAGTCACTTGCAATTTTCTTTGTTCCATTTATCATGTTATCATGCTCAACTCATCAAAGATTCCTGAATACACTTCTTCACTCCAGGGGATTATGTGCCCTGCACTGTGGTAGCTTATGCATGACTAGTAGCTACACTCCATTTAGCCTTTGTTTCCTACACAGAAGCTTCTTATTTCAGCAGATCATCCATTCTACAGCAACCAGCAAGATTTGAGAAAAGACTTTGGGGCTAGAAGGGCAAAACAAAGCAAACAATTGTGCAAAGGGAAGAAAAAACAAACTATAACTGAGAAAATAAAGAACTTTAACTCTATAAAGCAGGAAATCACATAAAGCTGACCTGGACAAAATGTGAACCAACTGGGTAGGAAATGCCAAGATGATTTCCTGGAGAGAAGACACCCCAGTGAGGTGTCTATAAACCCATGGTATATAGTAGGGGTTACATAGGTATTCTGGTTGAAAAAAATGCAAATCCATCCAGTTCAACCAATAGAAGGGGAGAAAAATGTATATACAGTTGTGTCCAAAATTATTCAACCCCCACTGAAATTGAAAGTTTGACATTGCTTTTGATCATTCAGTCATCTTGCTTACATTTACATTAAAGAGGCACTTGTAGGTCAGACAAATATAACATAACAGTTATAATGAAATAACCACAAATGTCTTTTCTGTGCTCACAGCATTATCAGTTTTATTCAACCCCCAAAGTGACATTCAATCTTAGTACTTAGTACAGCATCCTTTTACAGTTATAAACAGCTTTTAAACGTGAAGCATAGCTTGACACAAGTGTCTTGCAGCGATCTACGGGTATCTTCGCCCATTCTTCATGGGCAAAGGCCTCCAGTTCAGTCACATTCTTAGGCTTGCGCACTGCAACTAACTGCTTTCTTTAAGTCCCACCAGAGGTTCTCAATCGGATTTAAGTCTGGTGACTGCGATGGCCAAAAATGTTCCAGCCTTTCCTCTGCAACCATCTCTAAGGTATGCATGGGATCATTGTCCTGTTGAAAACGTTCTCCCAAGCCTCAGGTGTGTGACGGACTGCATCACGTTTCCATCCAATATCTCCTGGTACTGAAGAGAATTCATGGTACCTTGCCACACGCTGAAGCTTCCCTGTACCTGCAGAAGCAAAACAGCCCCAAAGCCAGATTGACCCAATTCACAGTAGGCAGGGTGTTCTTTTCATCATAGGCCTTGTTCTTCCTCCTCCAAACATAGCGTTGATCATGGGCCCAAACAGTTCTAATTTTGTTTCATCAGTCCACAGAACACTATCCCACAACTTTTGTGGTTTGTCCACATGGCTTTTGGCATACTGCAGTCGACTCTTCAATTATTCTTTGGAGACAGCAAGGGGGTACGCCTGGGAGTTCTGGCACGGAGGCCTTCATTACGCAGTGTGCGTCTTATTGTCTGGGCTGAAACTTCTGTACCCACATCTGACAAATCTTTTCTCAGTTCTCAGCAGTCACACGGGGACTTCTCTCCACTCTACGCTTCAGGTAGCGCAATCGAAGTCAGCATCTTCTTTCTGCCACGACCAGGTAGCGTTTCAACAGTGCCCTTTGCCTTGAATTTGCGAATGATGCTTCCTAAGGTGTCTCTTGGTAAATCTTTGCAATCTTCTTATAGCCATTGCCCTTCCTGTGAAGAGAAATCACCTCTTCTCTTGTCTTCCTGGACCATTCTCTTGGAGTATCATCCAGTCATTTTAAAGCTGCCTAATTGGTGCTTATTATGCTTGATTGCTGCTCGGTGACATCCAGAGGTGTTTTCAATACCTGATGGAAAGCACCTGTATGAACCTCTGTTCTTCAGAGTGGTAGTTCTTTAAGGGGTTGAATAATTGTGGCAATGAAGAAACCACATAAGAACCATTTACTACTGTATTACATAAACAATTGATGTCATTTTAGTTGCATTTGGGTAGTTACAACGTCCTTGTAGGATTTGATTCTGAATACAATTCCAAATGTACACTATAGTCCCTAAACCCCTTTACAGCATTGGGGGTTGAATAATTTTGGACACAACTGTATGTTCAGACATACACAATCCTATACCCACAGTTGATCTAGAGGAAGGCAAAAAAAAATAAAGGTGGGGGGAAAATCCTTCCTGATTCCCCCCCAAGAGGCAATCAGATATACTCTGGATCAACTTTACCTATAAATATCAGTATCCAGTTATATTATGTGTATCCAGGAAATAATCCAGGCCATTTTTAAAACAATCTACTGAGGTTAGGGTTGGCAACCTTTATCTCTTTAAATGTGAATTTACAAGCATTAGATACCTACTGTAGACCTCAGATCAACAGCACAGTGGCTAAATGGTTAGCACTTCCGCCTGGCAGTACTAGGGTTGAGGTTCGAATACCAACCATGGCACCACCTGCCTGGAGTTTGCATGTTCTCCCTGTGCCTGCGAGGGTTTCCTCCATATACTCTGGTTTCTTCCCACACTCCAAAGACATGCTGGTAGGTTAATTGGATCCTAGCATGTGTATGTATGAATGTGAGTTACGGACCTTAGATTGTATGCCTCTTGAGGGTTAGGGATTGATGTGAATGTACTATATATGTAAAGAGCTGGGTAAATTGACGGCGCTATATAAGTAACTGAAATAAAAAATAAATAAACCCCAATCCCTGCACCATCAGAAACACAGGGGTTTTACATCACAACTGGTGGTTTCACTAGGAGAAGAAAGCGGTTGTGCGAGCTTCTTCATATACCATCTGCAGCTCCAGGCAGGCATGTGATGGTACTGGGAGGAAACCTTGCACTTGAACACCAGTAATGTCAGGCAGACCTCTGAAACATCATGGAGGTGGGTGGGCTCAGGGCACTGAGGGGCAGGCCAGGCTTTGTTAATGGCAGCCTAGTGGCAGCAGCACTAGATTTATAGGGAGCAAAGGCCCATCAGAGGATCCTGTGGGCCTGAACACATGTCATGTGACAATCTTCTGATTGCCACTGAAAATTACATTACATGTCCACCCTGGCACCCATACCTTAAGTTGCCTATCCCGGTCATATACAAAGTCAGTTTTCTGAACAACATACATAATTAAGCGCTGCCCAGATACAATAAGTGAAAAAATGACAAACTAAAAATCCATCACACTTAAATACAATGAAATAAGTAAAGTCCTTGGAATCAGAATGAATCATTGAAATAGTGCATGTGCTTCTTCCACAAACAATTCGCGATTTAATGCCCTGTGCTCCCCACCAGTGTCCCCACTCACTCATCAGCTGTAGTGGACTCTTATAATAAAACAAGAGTCAATCACGCTTTGGTGGGGCAAGTGAAGTTCTGCTGAGTCTTGTAGTCCTCCCGGGGTTAACTGTCCTTGTCACCCTCAATCATCCCGATATGGTAACACAATATGTAGTATGCCAATGTAAAGAATGGAGGAAGGCATCCAACTGTGTAATTCTGTTTATTAGGGGACACTGGTGGGGAGGACAGAGCACCAAGGACTTTATTTATTTCAACGTATTTAAGTGTGATGGATATTTAGTTTATGTCATTTTTCACTTACTGTATCTGGGCAGCGCCTTAAGGCCCCATGTACACGGGGCACTTCTGAACGATGGAAACTGACTGCTGGAAAACGCAGGTTAAAAAACGTCTGTTTAGCAGCGTTTGCATACCACGTTTATGTGCGTTTGCGTTTAGAACCGTTTTTTAAAGATAACCTCAGGAGACCTTCCAGAATGCCCAGAATGCACTGAAAACCAGTAAAAAATTAACTATTTCAGACATTGAGAGAAATAGAAAGAGCAGAGGCAGAGAGAGCAGTATTTGTTGAGATTAGCTGCCTTCTTTCTTTCTTTCAGGTACTTATATAGTGCTGTCAATTTATGCAGCGCTTTACACATATATATTGTACATTCACATCAGTCCCTGACCCTCAAGGGGCGCACAATCTAAGGTCCCTAACTTACATTCATACATACACATATTAGGGCAATTTAGACAGGATCCAATTAACCTACCAGCATGTCTTTGGAGTGTGTGAGGAAACCGGAGTACCCAGAGGAAACCCACGCAGGCAAAGGGAGAACATGCAAACTCCAGGCAGGTGGTGCCATGGCTGGGATTCGAACCAACGACCCTAGTACTGCCAGGTGGAAGTGCTAACCATTTAGCCACTGTGCTGCCCTTTTTTTTTTGTGGTGTTTGGATGTGTTCCAGCTCATTTCTGTGCAGAAATTATTGCAGCAGTGTCTAACATATTTTCTTTCATGCGAAACCTCAAAGTATGGTGTACCAGGTCCATTTGAGTACCGGGAAAACACTTTGCATGCATTTTTCATGATGAAAAAAGGCTCTGGACAGCATTTGGAAATGGAAGAGTTCAAAAAAAATTTTTCGAAACATAAATGCTTATAAACGCGGTTAGCCGCGTTTACAACGCTGATAAAATCTACTCCTGAACGCAAGTTTGGTGCGTTCAAAAAAACAAACTGTAAACTCAACTGCCTGTAAAGGACTGTAAACAACTATGTGTACATGGATACATAGGAAAACATTAGGGAGAGTTCAGGGCTGCTGGAAAAAAAACACAGAAAAGCTCCTAAACGTGAGTTTATCAACTGCAGTGTACATGGAGCCTTATATGTATGTTGTTCAACTAGTGAAGGTTATACCTTTTGTAGAAGCAGCAGCCTACTAATTCAGTTTTAGCTGCATTATATCACAGGGTTAATTGGTATACACATTTTGTTTATATAATTTGTCCTGGGCGCAGGTTAACTACTACATAGCCTATAAAGATTTCTGTTACCAATTTAATCCTATATATTACCAGTTTGGCAAAGAACAGTAGTTTCATTGTTCGGTACAAATACTTGAAAATGTTACAAAAAGTGTTTTTTTTTTCAATTATTTTATGTTGCTGTGAATCTTTGATTTCTTTTTATAAGCAGCATATATGTGAACAAGGTTTATAACAGTGTTTTATGCAGTATGCAATGAACAGGCTAAACAAATATCAGGCTAGGCATGTAATAATTCCCTTTTTTTCTTTTAATAAAATGGAAAAATCAGGTCATGGAAAACAGTAGCTAAAGTCCTGGGTGTCCTTCCCAGAATGTACAGCAGATGCTGAGTACAACTATGTGCTGCAGTGTCTGGAAGAAAAGGTGGTGCAGATGATAGAAACACTTCCTGACAAGTGGTTGCCACAGTGGCCAGGCACTCTGAGAAAGCATCCAGAGGGATTAGTTCCAGATTCCTCGTTAGGAACAGCAGCAGGAAGTGAATAGAAGTGGAAGAGTCAGAAACTCTGCCAGGGACCAACTAGTCTGAACTGCTCAGCATTTACTGCTTTCACATAGAGGCTTTTATAGCATCTGCTTACTTCCATTGTACACTATATTGTACGCTGCATGCTCCATATTCACTCTGCATACACTACACTCCGGAGAAGGAACTTCTACAGAAATGTACATTCTGCTAGAAATGCTAGAATAAGGTCGACAAACAAATGAAACTGACAAACTGAGGACATCTCTATAAGTGACTGGGTCTGATCTACTTGGGGCCACATTCACATGATTAATAAAACAAAAAAACTAAACAAAAAAACAAAAAACTTGCATAGGCTTTATCAGTGGTTGAATACCCTGAGGCCTCAGACAATCCAAAATTCTTAAAGCTTTCTACAAAGAAGCAAGCTGCCACCAGTTTGATGTGCGTGTCTTAAAGGGAAACTGTTGTGAGAAAATATTGGAGGCTGCCATTACTAACTTCTCCTTTTGAGAATGCTAGTTTCCTGGTTGTCATGCTCATGTTTTGGCTTTAATGCTACCCATGTCACTGACCCAAAATAAGTATAGCGATAAGGAATTCTGACACTTATCATGGAGCCCCATTCAGTCCCCTGGCACCCCCACACACTAGTCATGGAACTCAAGAATCAAGGTAATCAGTAATGAATCATATGGCTCTCTACAGATTAAACAAGGGGTCGACCACATTTTCCCCATTAAAGTGATTGTAAACCTATTGTTGTTTTAAATAACAAAAATGTTAAATTTACTTGCTCTGTACAATGGTTTTGTATAGAGCAGCCCCGATCTGCCTCTTCTAGGGTCCCCCAACAGTGCACCCCATAGCAAGCACCTGCTGGGGGGCACTTGTTTAGGCTCAATTCCTAGCAGCGCTCTGTGTGTTCACTAACACACAGAGCATTGCTCAGCCCCCCCCCCCACTCTTTGGATTGGCAACAGCATGAGTCAATGGCTCCCATGGCTTCCTCCATGTTCAGTGAGAGAGAGCAGAAAGAGCTGTTGCTCTCAGGAACAGCAGTGGGATCGAGCTCAGGCTCAGTTCAGTATAGGGTGCATGGGGAGGAGCTGCATACAGAAGTCTTTTTACCTTAATACAGAATATACATTACAGTAAAAACCTTCTGCTTTTGGAACCACTTTAAGTTTCAATTTACAAGCATTAGACCAGCCCTCGAAATTTCCACTCACCCGTTCACATTGGACACGTGCAAATAAGGTGGGGGCGAGCAGCGGCGGGACTAGGGGTGTGTGGGAGGGGCGGTGGTGGGGGCAGTGACAAGCAGTGATCTCCTGTATGACTTTCAATGCAGCAGCTGGGAGTCATGGGAGGGAGAGGAGGAGAAGTAGCTTCCAGCTGCTTCACTGAAAGTCATACAGGGAGATCGCTGCTTGTCACTGCCCCCACCGCCACACCGATCATCTCTGATTGTTCCGTTTCTTAATGAACCCCCTGCTGTGTGCTCTTCAGTGCCCAGCCCCTCCCCCTATCCTCCGTACCAATAGGAGAAGAGGGGAAAGAGGCTGCTCTGCCACCTCCTGTGCCCGCCCACACTCCAGTCCGTGCAGCTTCAGAGGATGTGTGGGCGGGAAATTGAACACTGAGCAGCCAACAACTCTGATGCATCTGACTAAGTCATGCGAGTCCAACTTTCCTTCCTTCTACCCCACCCCTCCCTTCCTTCCTTCCACCCCTCCCTCCCTTCCTGCATTTTCCTTTCTTCCTTCCGTTCCCTTCCTTCATTCTGCATAAAACATTTAACAATGCCATTTCATGAGATAATGTTCGAGTGTGTGTTTAGGGGTGTAGTAAAGGGTGCAGCAGGGTAGGGGTTGGGTGGGAAAACTGGTGGCGATCAACTCTTAAGTTCTGGCTAGTAGCTCAGGACTTGAAATTTTAAGCCCTGCATTAGACATCAGGTGTGCTAGTGAAAAACAGCACACTGTAACCACATTGTTGATTTTCTATTTTTGCATCCATAGTTATACTACTAATACCAATTTAGGCAAGCTATGGATGATGTGATTTTCTCTTCTGCAACCTGTTGCATGAAAGGAAGTCGCGCAATTTCACCATCAACACAGTCAGTGTTGATGGGGGAATTCCTCCCATGGAGCTATTCTGTTCTGCTATCAGGGGAGTACAGAGAGTCGTCCCTGCCAGGAGAACACAATGATTATTGCTAGCGGCTGTAGCCGCTGACAATAATCGCATGCTAGCAATCCAACTTGCTGGTTTTACCCAAGTCAATCGATAGATCGACTTGGGTACAATCAGCTTGGACATAGATGGATTGAATCTCGGCTGGTCCCTGCTGAACTGGCTGAAATTTGAACCATCTATGGCTGGCTTTAAACTCAGAAATGATTATGCTAATAGGTGAAAACACAAAAAAACATTTCATTATTAACATTAACATACGTTGAACAGTTAATTAGACTTCCTTTCAATGTCATCCCTGTCTTTCAAGACTTAGTTGTCCCATGCCTGGCCTGTAGGATGTTAATTTTAGCTGCACACGCACTTCTGAATTAAATCTTGTGGCTTTGAGGTGAATCAACAATGTCCTCAGGTGTGAAAAAATCTGTTTGCACACGTATATGTATCCAAAACGTACAGATTAATGCAAAGGCCATCTTTTTTCAAAAATAAAAACTAGATACTATTTAACAAACTTTTCTAAATGTTTGTTTTAAACAGGAATATCAAATAATTTTGTATACATATGACTATCGATCTTTCAAGTACCATTGTGAGCCAGGGTTCATACGGATGTGGTGCAGAATTTGCAGTGTTTTCAGTTCGAATTCCGCACCGCATCAGAATCGCACCCTGTTCACGTGAACCACTGCGGATGTGTATGTTAAGTTACCACACCTCGAAAGCAGTCCACAAAACACGGTGTGATGTGCAGTGCGATTAGAGCCCTACAAAATATATATGGCTCCAATCGCACCACGCACAAATCGCATGTGATTGCACAGGAATGAGGTGCGGTTCCTGTGCGAATCACACGCGATATACCGCACCACACATATGAGAATCCAGGCTAAATGGCTTTTCCACCTGTGCATTATGTTGCTGATCCTTGGATTAGACAAATTTGCATGCATTTAGGAAAGTGAATCAAAAGATCTTTAAATAGTTTGTGAATCTATTTCCCCATCACTGGGAATGGGATATTTAGGAATAGTAGGTCTTCCCGAATTCTCTGACTTCAAAACCTAAAAAGCCACTCAGCAGTCCAGTTATTGTCTTAGTACTACAAGACGAGACCCCAATATCCTAACATCTCACACTCTGCTACACTGTCCTGCCAGACACCTCACACCCTCTTCATGTACTCAACTGGACCCCTCAACACCTCTCTTAACAGATAAAAACTCTCAACACTCACCCTTCAGAGAAGTCGGTCTCTATGAACTCCCGGGAACGCTTTCTGTCCCTACAAAAGACAAGACACAATGATGTTATTTTGCAAACTACACATTTGTGAAATCGTGATTAATGATTAAAATTATAACTGATGAGACATAGGGATGTAGATCAATAAAAACAGACGTGGCTAAGCTATCAGGAAGTAAATTAGAGGAACAAGGGTGCAGAAATTAGTGTGTCGGATCACCCATGAAGATTTTGATTTGTGTGTTAAAAGGTTCCAGACTGCTCAATCCAATATTATTAGGCACAGCCAAGGCAGTTCTCCATACATCTAGCATTACACACAAATTGTCTAAAGTAAGCAATTCCCCTACTCAGTCTTGCATGTGAGCATTTTCCATAGTTTCAAAGCTGATGACCAGGGGAGAAGTAGCCACACTGTATTTCAATTATTATCTGCCTACTCCTATTAACTGTGAATGATTTTGAAGTCTGAAAACGTACTTTTTGAAGACTCTCACACCTTTACTTTCTTGAATGCTGTGACACATTTGCTATGCCCTATGAGTAGGCACTGCTTGTGCCCCACATTTCACAGAGCCTGCCTTCTGAACTACAGAGGTGAGAAAGGAGGAGTTTCAGGTGACACAGGCAGCAATGTACCATGGAATGTGCAGTCCAAGAAATGAGCACAGGAGAAGCCACAAAGATGGAAGATTATCAACTGAACAGTGACTGCATCCAATGAGATACAATCACTGCTTGGGTGTTCCAGCCACAATGCTTGAATGCAAAAGTTGGCAGCAGAAAATATATTTGAAGTCTCTCTTTCAGCCTGCATGTTGAACAAGAGAAATCTACAGTTGTGTTCAAAATAATAGCAGTCAGACATCACTAACCTGATCAATCACTGTTTTTGGTAGAAATGATATTTCTACATGGCAAATAATTTACTAGCAGGTGTAGTAGTGTAATAGAAATCCAACAGACCCAACAGTCATGTGACATGCATGCTGCGGATTCTGTGTAATTGAATCACTAATTGAAAGGGGCATGTTCAAAATAATAGCAGTGTGGAGTTCTATTAGTGAGGTCATTCATTCTTTGAAAAACAGGTGGCAATTATTGCCCTTATTTAAGGAAGGAAGGCAGCAAATGTTGTACATGCTGGTTCCAGTGCATTTTTCTCTGAAATTCTGAGGAAAATGGGTCGTTCCAGACATTGTTCAGAAGAACAGCGTACCTTGATTAAAAAGTTGATTGGAGAGGGGAAAACATATCAAGAAGTGCAGAAAATGATAGGCTGCTCAGCTAAAATGATCGCAAATGCTTTACAATGGCAACCAAAACCTGAAAGACGTGGAGGAAAGTGAAAAACTACTATTCAAATGGATAGAAGAATAGCCAAAATGCCAAGGACTCAGCCAACAATCAGCTCCAGGAAGATCAAAGAAGGTCTAAAGTTACCTGTGAGTACTGTTACAATTAGAAGACGCCTATGTGAAGCCAAGCTATCGGCAAGAAGCCCCCGCAAAGTCCCACTACTGAAAAATAGACATGTGCTGAAGAGGTTACAATTTGCCAAAGAACACATTGACTGGCCTAAAGAGAAATGGCGCAACATTTTGTGGACTGATGAAAGTAAGATTGTTCTTTCTGGGTCTAGTGGCCGGAGACAGTTTGTCAGATGACCCCCAAACACTGAATTCAAGCCACAGTACACTGTGAAGACAGTGAAGCATGGCTGTGCAAGCATCATGATATGGGGATGTTTCTCATACTACGGTGTTGGGCCTATTTATCACATACCAGGGATCATTTATCAGTTTGAATACATCAGAATACTTGAAGAGGTCATGCTGCCTTATGCTGAAGAGGAAATGCCCTTGAAATGGGTGTTCCAACAAGACAACGACCCCAAACACACCAGTAAACGTGCAACATCTTGGTTCCAGACCAACAAGATTGATGTTATAGAGTGGCCAGCCCAATCCCCGGATCTTAATCCAATAGAAAACTTGTGGGGTGACATCAAAAATGCAGTTTCTGAGGCAAAACCAAGGAACAGAGAAGAACTGTGGAATGTAGTCCAATCATCCTGGTCTGGAATACCTGTTCACAGGTGCCAGAAGTTGGTTGACTCCATGCAACACAGATGTACAGCAGTTCTCAGAAACAGTGATTATACAACTAAATATTCATTAAGTGATTCAAAGGAAAGCAAAATCTTCAAATATTTTTCAGTTTATATAGTGAATGTTTGAGTTTGTAAAGAAGAATACAAACACTGCTATTTTTTTTTGAACAGTCTAATATTCACTTTTCGTCAATATTTTTTAGAGGAACAACACAAATTTGATAAATTTTTCTTCAGGCTTTGATTTGGAATAGAATGTGTAGTGTTCCCAATGCATTTGTGTGTATGGAAATAAAAGCTATTAGAAGGATTCTGAGCTTTATTCACTTTTTTCCCCACACACTGCTATTATTTTGAACAGAACTGTATGTGTGTATAGCTATCCTTAATCCCTACAGTCTTTTTGGGAAGCTGATCACTTCATAATTTAAAAGTGTAGCTATGCCTAAATTCTACGAGGAAAATACTGGGCTGTCAAAGAGAGCATAGCATAGAAGGATCATCCCGCAATCTTTCATCAATAGTTTGTTCAGCATTCACTCTTAAAGTCACTACATCTATCCACAGTATAATGATACAATGCACTCTATCTTTGGTGCTGTTTAAACACTATGCACTACTAAGTACAGAAAATAACATACTACCATAGGCTAGGCTAGCAATGCTTCCACATGACTGAGCCATTGAAGAACATAAAGTGATGACAGGATAAACCAATGGTTTATTTAGTCTTCCAATGCAGGAAAAGAGATAAGTAATAAACAATGAACACAAGATTACCTGTCATGTCAAGAGTCTAAACTCCCCAAATACAATATCATGTTAGGAACATAACATGCATCCAAAAGATATGAATTACCCTGGGATCCAGCTAGTTGTGTCTGTGATGTGGCTCTGAGTGACCATGGCTGAGGTAGCCGTAGAGAACTGTCTCCCTATGAGAAGATCTGCTCCGGCGTTAAGTCTCTGAGGAGTGCTTATAATCTAGAAAGATAAGGAAAAACATTACAGTAATCATTCTAGCATGGTATCCATTATATTTTGTCTCATTTTATGATGATCTTATGATTCCTTAGAGCTGCAGATGCAGAGGTGGTTGTCACATCATTGTAGGGTCATCAGCAGCACAGACCCAGTGATTCATTTTCAAGTAGAAATAGTTTGAGAGTTTTTAAATAACATGATAAGTCAACAGTAAATTCATTTTTAAGGAGTCAGTCCACAACATGGAAATTTAGCCTAAATTTGTTTTTTTCCATTTTAGGTACAGTGTCTCACAGAAATGAGTACACCCCTCACATTTTTGTACATATTTTATTATATTTTTTTAATGTAAAATAGTGAGTGTACAGCTTGTATAACAGTGTAAATTTGCTGGACCCTCAAAATAACTCAACACACAGCCATTAATGTCTAAACTGCTGGCAACAAAAGTGAGTACACCCCTAAGTGAAAATGTCCAAATTGGGCCCAATTAACCATTTTCCCTCCTCGGTTTCATGTGACTTGTTAGTGTTACAAGGTCTCAGGTATGAATGGGGAGCAGGTGTGTTAAATTTGGTGTTCTCTCTCTCACACTGGTGACTGGAAGTTCAATATGGCACCTTATAGCAAAGACATAACAGTTGTCACCCAAACAGCAAATAAGGATACAAAACCAGTGACCAGGGGCGGACTGACCATTTGGAAACTCGGACACTGCCCGAGGGCCCGTGGTCAGTAGGGGGCCCCATGAGATGCCCCTGGTACCTTTTTCATAGGCTTTTTTGAGTTTGGGCAAGGACACAGGGGCCCCATGATCCCCTATTGCCCGGGGGCCCCATGAGTTGTCAGTCCGTCCCTGCCAGTGACACCTATGAAAGGACAGACTGCCCTCTCTGTGGAGAGGTTTCCTCTCACTTCTGTAAGTTTTTGGTCTGTTGTGTCCCTTGACATGAAATGAGGGGAACATTTTCTTTAATGGAATTACAGACAGCCATAGGATCCTAACAGTGGTTCAAACCCTGCCCCACACTACCTAAAGTTAGAAAATGTTTTTTCCACATTAAAAAGTGTTGTTAGAGATGGGGTGGTGGACCAAGTCAGCTAATGGCTCCTTGAACCTCTAGGAAACTCCAGTCTAAAGTACCTGCACTGATCTATCCTCCCAACCTTGGAGTTTTGAGGGCTTCTACCCACATTTGGGTGATCCCACTTCATTCCCCATAATGAAAAAAAAAATGGCTATCCAACTGTGAGCGTGAGAAGGCCGAGTAATGGGCACAGCTGATTCTTTACCTAGAAACTCAAACTTGTAATAGAGGGAAAGAGATCTGAATAAAATACAATGTTCTATAACTAAGAGTGCAAAAGTGATTATTATATATCAGGTTATCACGCTGCCACGTGCCATGGAGCAGTAAAGAAATTAAGATCACATTATGGATTCCTGTAAGCTTCAAGATTTGTACTATTTAATTAATTTGGGGACACTTTATATAACAAGGCAGTGTAACGTGCATAGAATTCCATAGCACACATTTCACAACAAAAAGATGATTGGTTAGCAAAAGTAAAAAGTCCATTAGAGCTAAGGTTAGCTAAAGGCAAAATGTTTTCTTAGTTGTGGATAAAGTGGAGAGGGATTAGAACACCTATGAGGTTATTACTGCTGTCTGTGTCCCCGTTTCACCCTCTCTGTTTGTCCTGTTTACGGCTATCACCTAAAGGCAAGTAAAAGAAAATCCCAAATTTTGAGTTATCCTCAGAAACTAAAATAGTGGAGATATCTTCCAATGAGAACACTACTGTTGGTGACCCTGGTGAGAACCAAGGATTCCCTCACTTCGTATTTTGGGTATGCGACAGGAAGTGAAATCTCCCCAAAAGGACACAGATGGCAAAAATAAACCCCACAGAGGTTATAACCCTCCGATACTCTAACCAAAATGAAAAAAAGTTATGCCTTTAGTTATACTTTAAATGTATTCTTGACCTCATATGTTTTTATTAGTGTATGTTTTATCATTATTTTTTGTTATTTCTTATTTTATTTTTTGTTTTTCTGAGTATCAGTATCTTGGATTAGGGACATGCTGGTGATACCCAACAGCTAGGTGGCAATGTGCCCATCTCCGACATAAACCAACCTATCCTATCCATCTTTAGTATACAGAATGCAAAGACACACTGTATTGATGAAAATAGACAGTCAGACCCCCAAAAAGATGAGTGACCTGCCCTTAATAACTGAGCAGTAACATTTACTGCACACCAAACCTGCTTGTTTTGGGTGGAGCGCAACTGTATGTGCAATTTACACATGTTCCCGCTGACTTCCAAAATGCAGTGCACCGTTGTTAGCCCATGCTTAACCCATACAAGAAAGAGCAGTTTGCTTTCCAATGGGGGAAAGGAAATCACGCCCATTATTACATAATAAACTTTTTTTCTGGGCACAAGTAGTAGAGATGGAATCGATTTGCTCCTGGGGCTGGATCAGGCCATGATTCTCATAAGGGTGGCCATACTTGCTTTGATCAGTTTCTTTTCTGATAGATTGCTCCTGATAGGAATACTTATTCTATAGTGTACAACCCATTGAATCAATACACCACACACACAGGGAATTAGATTTCGAATGAAGTTGAAAAGTAAGATTGCAAATTACAGATGGCATCGGTTTTCATCATGCAATCCCAAAATCTGACCAAAGCCTCTTGTTGCCACTGATCAATGCAAAACGATAAAAAAAAAAAAAGTTTATACATTGGGTGATTGACGAAGATTGAATTCAAACTAAACTGAGCATGATGTAAATCGAAAGGGAAGCTATGCTCATTCAATTGATTTTCAATTTGATCTTTTTGACTGAATCACAATTTGATTGGATAATGAAGTGTGTATGGCCACCATAAGAGTGTGTATGGCCACCATAAGAGTGAGCAGAAACAAACATTCATTCTCAGAGAACAGTCAATCGGTAGCGTTTGCGTTGTCTGAGAGACCGCCATTGTTCTGTTGGCTCTAAGGAAGAGGTTGTGTCCTCGAAACACATTAGGTTTCCAGGTTTCCATCGTATGGACTCAGATGTTGTTTGGATCATACATCTTGTTCAGTTTGACATGCCTGTGTTTTTATGTCTATTGTAAGTATGATACTTTGTTTCTTCAATAAATATTTTAAATGATAATGCACTTGGTCGGTGCGCCTTTTTTCTGTTTCTCCATTTGCATCTAGTGTATTTGGACCACCCTGGTCTGTTGAGGGCAGCAAGCAGTGCATATTCCAAAAAATTCCAGAACATTCCTATTGGGTCTACTGAGTCATTTCCTAGCGCAGGAGAAAAGTGTTTGCTGTGTTAAACCGCCATTGTTTACCCTGAGAAATGGTCAGCATGTTGAATGTGTGTAATCTCTCTGTCCACTACAAAACCATGTTATTGACCTCCATCAATGTACATGCTCCTGAGCTGATCATCTGATAAAACGATGGTCTAGTGGACCAATCGCTCCAGCATATCCAAGCATCTTATCTTGCTATGCCTGTGTAGTGTCCAGCCATTTTGAGAACTGCAATGCTTCAGGCTGTCTAATCCCAAGACTGACCAGAGGGAAAAAAAACAAGACGCACTACAGCAGGCTAGACATAGAACAGCCATGAAGAATTGATAAAAAATACTGGTCCACAACACCAAACATTTCATATGACATAAAACCCCCCAAACAGGTACAAAGATCCTTGTCCATTCTGATGTTTATATTCTATATGCCAATAAAAAGCTTTCTAAAATTTTCCAATTGCGGCTCTGGCTGAATTTTTTTTCTGCACTGCAGTCAACGATGGGTTAATCGTCGCAAGCCAGAAGCCCGCAGTAGGTGCATAGAAAAAAAAGACTAATGATCGTCACATGGGAGATCCAAACACCGGTCCAATCCCTTCCCATCCAGTCACAGGCCCCCCAGAACACACGTCACTGCTGTTCTTGGCTGACCTCAGGTCCACCTCTCGGCTTTGATCTCCACCGGAAGCTAAGCTGGGACCCCAGGCTGCGACCCTGCACTGGATGCTTTACTGCAGGTTTCAGAGACCTACAGAGAAAGACAGGCGTGCAGTGACAATCATTCATACATCCTCTCCGGCTGCACAAACATTTAAAGCCATAGCCTGCTCTGTGGAAATCTTTCAAACTGGCACATGGGTACTATGGTGTTTTCATTCATGGGGGTAGGAGGAGACTAGCTAAATGAGAACCCTTTATGGGATTGTCACAGAATGTACAGAAGGTCAGAGGCGTACATGACGTAATTAGCTCTGCTGTGATCTGAAACATGGGTGCTGCCTGTCCTCCATGCACACAGAGATACTGGGAATGACTAAACAGTAAGCAGAAATCAGATGTTTCTGGTACTTTCCAGCAAATCAATTTATTTCCACCCAAAAATCCTATAACAGAACCCTGACAATTGTAATAGAAAGAATTCTGATAAATCCCAACCAGGACTCTACCTGCACAGAGTTTGCATTGGTTTCCTCCCACATTGCAAAGATATTCTGGTGGGTTAAGTTAACTCTGTGTAGGCTAGTTAGCTGTCTGAACTGGATGTAATAGGGGTGTGCTTGTATGCATGCATGTGAGATGGGGACCTTACATTGGAAACCTCTCGACAGCAAGAACACGTATGAACATGTAACGTGCTGTGGAAATTGTTGGGGCCCTGTCTGCCCCCCCTTCCTCTATTCAATGTAACCTGTGCTCCCCCCCCTTCCTCTCTTCTATGTAATCTGTGCTCCCCCCCTTCCTCTCTTCTATGTAATCTGTGCTCCCCCCCTTCCTCTCTTCTATGTAATCTGTGCCCACTCCTTCCTCTCTTCTATGTAATCTGTGCCCCCCCTTTCCTCTCTTCTATGTAATCTGTGCTCCCCCCTTGCTCTCTTCTATGTAATCTGTGCCCCCCCCCCTTGCTCTCTTCTATGTAATCTGTGCCCCCCCCTTGCTCTCTTCTATGTAATCTGTGCCCCCCCTTGCTCTCTTCTATGTAATCTGTGCTCCCCCCTTCCTCTCTTCTATGTAATCTGTGCTCCCCCCTTCCTCTCTTCAATGCAATCTGTGATTCCTCCCCCTTCTTCTGCTTCTTTGTAATCTGTGCTGCCCCCCTTCTTCTGATTTATGTAATCTGTGCTGCTCCCCTTCCTCTCTTCTATGTAATCTGTGCTGCTCCCCCTTCCTCTCTTCTATGTAATCTGTGCTCCCCCCTTCCTCTCTTCAATGCAATCTGTGATTCCTCCCCCTTCTTCTGCTCTTTGTAATCTTTGCTGCCCCTTCTTCTGATTTATGTAATCTGTGCTGCCCCTTTCTTCTGCTCTTTGTAATCCATGGTCCTCTTTCTTCTGTTCTATGTAATCTGTGCCCCCCCCCCTCTCTTCTATGTAATCTGTGCCCCCCCTTCCTCTCTTCTATGTAATTAAGTGTGCCCCCCCTGCTCTCTTCTATGTAATCTGTGCCCCCCTTCTCTCTTCTATGTAATCTGTGCCCCCCCTTCTCTCTTCTATGTAATCTGTGCTCCACCCCTTCCTCTCTTCTATGTAATCTGTGCCCCCCCTTTCCTCTCTTCTATGTAATCTGTGCCCCCCCCTTCTCTCTTCTATGTAATCTGTGCCCCCCCCCCCTTTCCTCTCTTCTATGCAATCTGTGCTCCCCTCTTCCTCTCTTCATGTAATCTGTGATCCCCCTTCCTTCTTCTGCTCTATGTATCTTTGCTCCCCTTTCCTCTGATCTATGTAATCTGTGCCCCCCCTTTCTCTGTTCTATGTAATCTGTGCTGCCCCCTTCTTCTGTTCTATGTAATCTGTGCTGCCCCCTTCTTCTGTTCTATGTAATCTGTCCCCCCCCTTATTCTGCTTCTATGTAATGTGTGCCGCCCCTTCTCTGTTCTATGTAATCTGTGCTCCACCCCTTCCTCTCTTCTATGTAATCTGTGCCCCCCCTTTCCTCTCTTCTATGTAATCTGTGCCCCCCCTTGCTCTCTTCTATGTAATCTGTGCCCCCCCCCTTTCCTCTCTTCTATGCAATCTGTGCTCCACCTCTTCCTCTCTTCAATGCGATCTGTGATCCCCCCCTTCTTCTGCTCTTTGTAATCTTTGCTGCCCTTTCTTCTGATTTATGTAATCTGTGCTCCCCCTTTCTTCTGTTCTATGTAATCTGTGCTGCCCCCTTCTTCTGTTCTATGTAATCTGTCCCACCCCTTATTCTGCTCTATGTAATGTGTCTCGCCCCTTCTTCTGTTCTTTGTAATCTGTGCTGCCCCTCTTCTTCTGTTCATGTAATCTGTGCTGTCTCCCTTCTTCTGTTCATGTAATCCATGTTGCCCCTCTTCTTCTGTTCATGTAATCTGTACTCCCCACACCTTCTGTTCTATGTAATCTGCACTCCCCACACCTTCTTCTGTTCTATGTAATCTGCACTCCCCACACCTTCTTCTGTTCTATGTAATCTGCACTCCCCACACCTTCTTCTGTTCTATGTAATCTGCACTCCCCACACCTTCTTCTGTTCTATGTAATCTGTACTCCCCACACCTTCTTCTGTTCTATGTAATCTGTGCTGCTCCCCCTTCTTCTGATCTATGTAGTCTGTGCTGCCCCCCTGTTCTGATCTATGTAATCTGCGCTGTCCCCCCTTGTCTGATCCAAGCAATCTGTGCTGCCCCCCCCCCCCCCCCCCCACCACCTGTCTGATCTATGTAATCTGTGCTTTCTACCTTCTTCTGTACCATGTAATCTGTGCTCCCCCCCCCTTTCTTCTGTGCTATGTAATCTGTGCTGTCCCCCTCCTTCTTCTGTTATTTAATCTGTGCTGTCCCCCTTCTTCTGTTCTACATAATCTGTGCCACCCCCTTTCTATGTATTTGTGAAAATTATCTGCATTTTTTTCACCTTTGACTTTCCTATAAACCTTCCCAGTTTCATGCCCTCATCTATCATTGTTGTGGAAGATGGCACATGTACACCCCTATGAGGGAATGGCAGGTCTGCTTACCATTTTATATTGTCCTTTATTAGTGAAGCATAGTGTTTCCAATAAATCTGCTCTTGGCCAGACTCAAAGGCTTTCCCGACAGCTGGAGGCAGACCTTACCATACAGCAGACTCTGAAAATGTGTTCTTGCTTTTACCTGCCAGTTCGCTGCCTGCCCTTGTATCAGCCAACACTTCCTTCCTACTTACTGTAAGTCACACACTGCTATATTACATTTGTGGGAGCTTCAATCTCTCACCAAAACCATGGAAATATTGAACACGTGAACTCATCTCCACCCACGGTCAGGCTGAATCATTACTGGGCCCAGGTTATCCACTGTTATGCACAAAATGTAATCTTTACATCCGTAGGGTATTGTCCCTTCTATGGATAGCCAACATTTTAGATCATTTTAGATTTGACTGAAAGATGTTTAAAGTATGTGTCTGGGCAAAAAAACCCCAAAAATATGTATGACATCTCTGCAGCACATGCACCTTTCTCCATGCTTTATCCCTTTAAAAATACAAGCAGAAAAAATACCCAGTCATCCTGCCAGAAATCTAGTGAATGCCTTATATTTTGTAGTGAGCTGACAATGCTGCCTCAGCTGCACAGACATTCTAAGCAAAGTTGTCAGCCCTTCCTGAGTTCTCCTCTGCTGTACTACATTTATTTCCCAGAAAAAAAATGCTGCTGTCTCGACTCCCAAGAGCCTGTCTACATACTGTCTATAGGTAAAAGGCTCTTGGGAGATGTAGATCTGGGGGATGGTGGCATGCCTACAAACTGATGTAGGTTGCTCAGTTGATTCCCTTCTCCTAGTAGCTGTACCTGCTTTTGACAGGTACCCGCTCCCACTTTTGTTCCAACTGCCTAGGCGATCCAAGCAGAACTTCTCCTTCCCCCTGCTCTCCCCCCTTGCATTCTTCTGGGACATATGACAGATCTCAGCAGACTGCGAGTCCATTCACAAAGCACAGCGTGGCTAGCACATGTGCAGTGTGCACATGGATGTGAAGCCACAAGCGGTCACAGCTGGGTGCCCACAGTTAAGATGACAGCACCGGGGACTGAAGACAGGTAGAGAAAATGGCTGGGGTGAGCACAGCGCTGGATCCTGGGACAGGTGAGTGTCTGTTTATTAGTTATCAGTTTTATAGCTGCTGACTTTTAATTTTTACAAATATGACTGGAGCCCCCTATAAGCTGGAATTGTACTTTACGTTATTAATTGAAAATAGACATATTGCTTAAATTTTAGTTTAAGAGACATTAAGATGCTTCTAAAGGATAACTTGTTTTTATCTAAATTAAAAAACATGTTATACTTAGCTGCTCTGTGTAATGGTAAACCTCTTCTGGGGTCCCCTGCCAGCACTTTCTGCTCCTCCTCTTGTGTCTGCCCTCATATCAAGCTCCTTGCTATGGGGGCAGATGTGTGGGCTTGCCCCCTGAGTCAGGTTGTGTGCATCCATAGACACACAGAGCGTGGCTTGACCCGGCCCCCCCCCCCCCCTGCTCTCTGCTCCCAGAACTGAAGGGTTGGGGGTGATACTGCTACTGGGATATCTTTTACCTTAATGCAGGGAATGCTTTAGGGTAAAGAATGTTATGACTGTAGAACCACTTTAAAAGGGGTAGATTTAAAAATGCAAGTCTATGATGAAAACACATACATTTTAATTATTTTGATTATAATGAGTACATTTTACTGAAAACTAAAACAAGTGCAAGTACTATATTTCTATAGGTTTTTATGGCAGCTCATTTAGTTTGCTAAACTGGCTTCAAACATGCAAGTCTGATTTTCCAAACCAGACATCCAGAATTAGGTTGGTGCCAACCAAGCCAAGTGGTGTCTATATTCTTGTCCTCTCGACAATGCTGAGCAAGAGAGATGGTCACACAGCTCCCTAATTTTTATTCGACATGTGTGGAATAAACCGTAAGAACAGCATTCACAAAATCTGTCATTGTACCTTACATTACCATAACATACACATAAACAGTGCTTAGCCTAGGTATTAAACAAACTAACATTTTTGGCCATGGAATGAAATAAACAGTTGGCAATCTGGTGAAAAGTCCTGCCTAGCATGGCTGGTGTCAGAAGGATAATATAAGCCAGGGCTTGAAATTTCCACTCGCCTGGTCGCCAATGGCGAGTGGAAATTATGGTGGGGGCCAGTGGGTCCCCCAAGACCATCTTGCTGAGCAGGCTCGGAGCTCAGGCCGGATCTGTCCTTGGCACTGGGAGCCGTCAGACTGCTCAAAAGCTGAGCAGAGTGAAAGCAAAGCAAGGAGTGTGTGTTGTGCTCTCTGCCTCCCCCTAGAGTGCAGTACCCAGATCTGTGAGTGAACAACGAAGTACTGCAACTTTTCATGGGTGTGTGTGTATGTGTACATGTTTGTGTCTGCATGTACAATTGTACATGCGTCTGTGTGTATGTACATGTGTGTATCTGTACATGTGTCTGTGTGTATGTACATGTCTGTGTATGTATGTACATGTGTCTGTGTATGTATGTACATGTCTGTGCTTGTGTATTTCTGTGTATGTACATGTATCTGTGTGTATGCGTGTCTGTACGTGCCTGTGTGTGTATACATGTGCCTGTATGTGTACTTGTGTCTCTGTGCGTGTATGTACATGTCTGTGTGTGTGTACAGGTGTCTCTGTTTGTGTGTGTTTTTTGGTGGCGAGTAACTCTAAGGCCTGGCTAGTAGCTCAGGATTTGAAATTTTAAGCCCTGATATAACCTATAGAGGGAATGTACCTGGGCGTTGTGCTTTGTGAAGCATTTTTGAAGGGTAAGGAATGAGGTGTATGCTTGTGTTTATTGCTGCTTTCCAATGCATCACGTTGCTTTGCTTCTTTTTCCAAAAAAAGTCAACATAGATGCATATCAGAGATGTCCCAAGCTGACCTCAAACTGACTGATCTCAAATCCCAGCCAATTTTCTGCATCCTCGTGAAGCCAGTGTACAACGTACATTACTCCTGTACTTTCAGCACATTTACATATCCAGTGCTGGGAAACGAAGCTCTGATGATTAACTACCCATGGATGACACATCCAGGCTCCCATAATGAATTCTAGCTGGATGAGTGAGGCCAACATAACAAAGTGTGCAAGTGTTTGTATTGCACCAACATCCGCATATGAAGCACTTTTGAAGGACCTGGAAAGCAGTGTTTAATTTGGATTTAGAGTGAATTGAGCAGTAATGCCGGCATTTATTGTTGCTTTTACAATGCATTGTGTAGCTTTGCTTTTATTCTGCATACAAGAAAGCATCTAGGAGCTAGTGTGGATTTTGAGATGTATACATCATGTGTTGAAAAAACACACAAATTGATTGCAGGCTTATCTAATTGATCTCATAAACTTGTAATGGATGTAAAACAGATCTCACACACATGCAATATCTCCTTGAAAACAAACCATTTTGCCTATTGTACATAGGCTTTTAGGACTGGCTAAGGGACATCTAAAACCATTTTTTTGTTTAATTTTGGATAGAGTAGGTAATGGATATAACCTCCATCGTGTTTTTTGTTGTCTGACTGCAGACATTTCAATTCGCTTCTTGCCCTGTAGACACAAAAGTGTTGAAAGGATCGGAGTGCCACACTAGCTTGTACAGTCCATTGAAATATTTTTTGCAAAAGCTAACGTGTTTCGGGGACTCAGGATTGCCCCCCCCCCCTCATCAGGGCTAAAAACTAGAAAATACAAAGATTCCTTATAAACACATGTACACATTTTAACCACTTGCCGCCACATGTATATTTACTGCGGTAAGTCTGCCTCTCTGCGCCAGATCAAGTATATGTACGTGATCTGGCATTTCCGGGAAGGGGGTGCGTGCCTGCCCCTCCGCCCAATCGGTTCTGTCATTCGCTACAGCACAAGTTGGCCTGCAGGTCCAGGGCAAAGATTTATGCCAGGACCTGCTAATCGACTTAACGAATCACAGCACAGAGCCCTGTGTTTACCAAGAACACAAGGCTCTGTACAAAGCAGGGAGAAAAAACAAGCACATCGCTTAGTAAAAGCGGCGCACATTACACATTGCTAGACACACAGTTAACCCTTTGATTGTCCCTATATGTTAGCCCCTTCCCAGCCAGTGTCATTAGTGCAGTGACAATGCATAGTATTATCACTGTACTAGTGTCACTGGAGATGTCAGTGTCATTTAGTTAGTTCCCACCCGGCATCGCTTAGTATCAAGATTGCTCACTGCACTATCACAGTCTCACTATAAGTCGCTGATCACCGCCATTAGTAGCATAAAAAAAAAAAAAAAAAACTCCAGTATACATACACCATAGTTTGTAGACGCTAAAATGTTAATGTAAACTAATCAATATACACTTATTGGATTTTTTTTTTTCTTACCAAAGACATGTAGCAGAATACATTTTCACCAAAATTTATGAAAAAAATGAATTTTTTAAAAAATGTTATATTGGAAATGTGTTACAGCAGAAAGTAAAAAATATTGTTTTTTTTCAAAATGTTCATTCTTTATGTAAAATAAAAAATACTAAAAACAGTGGTGATCAAATACCAACGAAAGAAAGCTCCAATTGTGTGAAAAAAAAGATAAAAATTTCATATGGCTACATTAACATGCAATTGCCAGTTTAAATGGGGGTGGTAACATTTTCTGGAGTTTAAGTTCTTCAGGAATTTTTGCATTCTCTGTTCTCTAGTTTTTAGGCCAGATAAAGGTGGAGTGTTGATCTTCCGAAACGCATCACATAAAGTAAAAATGGACTGTGCAAGCTACTGTGGAGCTCCTTTCAACACTTTAGCACACTCTTCCGAGGGTTCAGGAGGACACTATGGTTGCTGATGAGCAGCCTCTAATTGTGCACACCAAAGGTTCAACACTCCTACACCACAAAATGACTGCAGACACAACAGGAAGTGAGGGAAAATTGTTCCAGTAGCAATTTAAAACATTGTAATTTTCCCTCACTTTCATTTCCTGTGGACCATGGTCATCCCTTACACCACGGGTGTCAAACTGGTAGCGCTCCAGCTGTTGCCAACTACAAGTCCCATGAGGCATTGCAAGATTGCCAGTTATATGCACAACTCCCAAAGGCAGAGGCATGATGGGACTTGTAGTTTCGCAACAGCTGGAGGGCAGCCAGTTCGACACCCCTGCCTTACACTAATACAAACCTGGCTTGAGTTGTAACCCTTCCCCTTTCTATCCAAAACTAACAAAAGTTTTAATTTTAGCAAATCTGACATCTGTGCTTTGGTTTTATTCCTTCACACATCAATAGGAATACATGAAAAATGCATATATGTCACCTGTGCACACTAGCTCTTAGCCATGCTTCGTAGTCTGAAGGCCATGTACCCTAATGTAAATTTACCATTGACACTGCCTGTGCAAGTGTCTGTAGAATGTCATAGCCTCCTAATGCATGCTTTGTTGACAATGACAGAGTCAACTATAAAAAATGGCTGCCTTTGTCCTACATAGTACCTTGCTGTATTATCATCATGTGGCGGACTGTGACTGTTAAAGGTCAAATTTTTATTTATTTTTTTTTTTTTAAAACGCAGATTTTCCTAACATTCCATAAGTTTTATTTATCTAACTATCTTCAACCTGTCATAACGGAAACCTGAAGGCTGCTATGGCTGACCTCTACTTCTGGTCTACCTATCATGGTAATGATGTGAGTCACTGTCCTGGAACAAACATTTCGGATAAGGACATCTTACATTTTGTGACTTTCCTGCATACTTTTTCTGGGTCAGTGACTCAAAGTGCTGAAGTCTGTAGGTCAGCCTAACAGCCAAGGAAGCAGAATTGTCAGAAGGCAATTTCAGCTCATATTTCTCACACGACAGGTTTACTTTAAGACATCAGAACAAATCATTCCCAATCAAGTCCCTAATACTGTTAAAGAAAATACTGCCACAGCCGTCTGGCCCCGTGAAAACCAATTAAGCTGTTTGGTTATCGTGCAATAGTTGCCAGAATTCCGCGGGTAATGTTACCTTGTGTCTCTCCTGCTCAGCGGGTTTGTTAGAGGAATTATTTTCACATGTGCAGTCAAACATTCCGAGCGCTTTCTTACAAACAGAAATTTGCTTTACTTTATAAACACTTACTCCCACCCTGACTTAACCCATTCTGTTCTCAGGGCACATCATGTAATTGGATTGAAGAAACCATCGCCCCTCTACAATCAAAAAAATACGAGATGGAAGAAAGATTCACACATCATCCTTAGACTGGATTTAGACTTGATTATTCAAGCATGTTTATGATGTACGAATGACCTTAACAGATGACCTGGGTGGCCAGAAACACGGACTGAAAATTCGACTGGACATCAACATTTTATCAATTTGGGCTTCTGAAATGTATGCAGAAGTTCTGCAGCAACAAAATACTGACAAGTGTCAAATTTAAGCATCAGTTAAAGAAAAAAAATAAAGAAATAAACCTTTTGATATAGCTCAGACTATGAACGTTTCTCAATTTGTTTCAACTGAAATTTTGTCCCAGCTATCGATTGGTGAATCTAGTCTGAACCAAAGATTGTACAAATCTATGCCCCCTTAGTAAAAAAAAAAAAAAAAAAAAAAGCCTTTAGCTATCTGCAAACATCAGCTCTCACAGACACATGATCTGGTCACTGAACAAATGTGCGCACTTTGGGTATTTTTGTAGGAAGGCTTTGCCAACCATACAAGTTTGTGAGATTGGAGAGGAAAATGGAGGGGAGGGGTTGTGGTCCGAGGCTTCTTGATTTTCATCTGACCAAGATAAAAACTCATGGATTGGGTGACTAATACCATGTTCATTAGTGCCTTAGGAAACCTAGCGATCCATATTCTTAAAGCTGCCAATCACAGCTACAACTTCAGTCAATGGGTAAGACCTTGGACCAGTCATCCTGTAACCAAATCCTGTGTTCCCAGTATATATTCGCCCAAGAGAATCAGTTGCTCTCTTGCTGATACTAGATATGTCAAATTTGTCTCCTCAGCATCCCCCCTGTGTTTTCTGGGGTGCAGGGAACCAGGCACCCTATTCCACATTTGGCGGTCCTGCCTGAATGCTCTGCAATTGTGGACTCAGGCCTATTCAATGGTCAGATCAGTTTTAAATGTCTCCCTAGATTCCCATCCATGACTAAGACCCAGAGGAAGCCGATGGGGTTTGTGTTCCTGGCAGCCAAGCAGACATTGGCAAGATCCTGACACCAAATATTCCTCAACTTTGCTGAGGTTAGACAGCGGGGTCCATGGTCCAACAGAAGCTCACTTCAATATTTACAGATACCCATGCTAAAATCTTAAAGCTACAGGACCCATGGTTAACCTACAATGATCATCTAAACCTGGACTGTTCTTTACTTTCTATTTGTTTTGACGGCCCATCACTGTGCTATGCATTGGGTTGGACTGCATGGGAACTTCTCCCTGTCCCCTTCCTTTTCCCCATGCAAACTCCCTACTCTTATCTTCGCCCCTTTCTTTACTGCCCACCGAGGTCTTCAGATGATCGCCTCCCATCATTTTCTTTCACTCCCTTAACCCTGAGCTATTTTTTGGGCTCCAGAA